GACTCAGGAAGGGAGAGGGGCAATGTGCTGACGGTCGGGGGACAGGCTTGAGTGGTATACCCTTTGGTTGTTTGACAATGCATGGAGGGAATTGTAATCAATGCAATGAAATAAAATACAATAGGATGAATGTAAAGATAATGTTCTCCCATGTAAACTATCATATAATTCACAATAAAAACTTAAAAAAAAAAAAAAGTTCACCCAAGATACGCTATTTTCAATTGCCTCAAATGCATGTGAGAATTGGACAGTGAATAAAGAAGACTAGAGAAGAATTGATACATTTGAATTATGGTGCTGAAGGAAAATGTTGAACATACTATAAAATGCCAGAAGAACACATAAGTCTGTCTTGGAAGAAGTACAACCAGAATACTCCTTAGAAGTGAGGATGGTGAGACTTGTCTCTCATATTTTGGACTTTTGTCAGGAGGGATCAATCCCTAGAGAAGGATATCACACTTTTTTAAATGAAGCATTTGCAAAAAAGAGGAAGACTCCGAACAAGATGGACTGATACAGTGGCAGCAACAATGGGCTCAAACAATTTGAAGGAAGACACAGGACTGGGCAGTGTTTCATCACTATGAGTCAGAAACTACTCAATGGCATGTAACAACAACAATAATATCCATGGGGATACCAACCTGCTTGGTTGACATCTTCATTTGGTTCTTCAATGAGCCGCAAACAGTCTTTTTTTTTCTTTGAGGAAACTGGAAGTGACTCTGCATGAGACTTCTGACACTGTGCATAGAAAACATTAGATCTACTTAACTAAAATTATCAATTTTGACTACACACATTTATTTTTTTAATGGGATAAAAGAAAAAAGGATTTAAAAACAACCCAGCTGGTAAAGCTATAAATGAAAATGAACCACTACTACTTTGGGAAATAGATTGACACTATCTAGTAAAAAACGGAGCTCTGGTAGCATAGTGGTTACGAATCGGGCTGTGAACCGCAAGGTCAGCAGTTCGAAACTACTAGCTGCTCCGCGGGAGAAAGATGAGGCGTTCTGCTCCCGTAAAGATTTACAGCCTCGGAAACCCTGTTCAGGGTCGCTATGGGTCGGAACCGACTCCACGGCACATAACAACAACAAGTAACATTGAAAGGGCATAAATGCATTTATAATGGCAAATCAAGGTAGCTCGAAAAAGAAAACCTATTTACTGACAAGAGTTTGAATAAATAAACTGTAATACAGTCAAATAACAGAAATATTGTAATACTACATTGATAAACCATAGCAACATGCAAAAATAATTATGTTCATCAAAAATAAGGCAAATTACCAAAGTATAGAATAATCTCATTTATGTAGAATAAAAAGATATGACATGTACAACAAGTAACATAGCAGGCCTGACCATTGAAAGGGCATGGTTGTAGAGCTAGCCATTGGTCATCAGCTAGGACTTGGCTTTCAGGATAATCCCTCTTTAGCAATCAGTTTTGTCTGCTGTGTCCACCTATCTAGACTGTGAAAACAACGTGATTTATATTGCTTCCTTTCCTTCTGTGAAGGAGCTCTGGTAGCGTAGTGGTTACAAATCGGGCTGCAAACCTCAAGGTCAGCAGTTCAAAACTACCAGCTGTTCCATGGGAGAAAGATGAGGCTTTCTGCTCCTGTAAAGATTTACAGCCTCGGAAACCCTGTACAGGGTCACTATGAGTGGGAACTGACTCCATGGCACATAACCTCCTCCTCCTTCTTTCTGGGAGTCTGGAATTACGGTGGCAGAGAATGCCTAAGTGATCAAGTCCCAATAAAAACAGGTTGCCTCGAAAGAGTTTCCTTGTACAAAAACAATATACACGAGATACTGTATTCCACAGCTGGAAGCAACTGAGGGCACCCTGTGGTGAAGAACATCGCAAGCCTGATTCCTCCAGACTCTGATGTGTGTTTTTCCATTATCAATTTGGCTGGGAATACTTATTGGGTGTCTATAAGTCTCAGCTATGAGTCAACTGTACACTGAGTCATGAGTTCTCCTAGTAAAGCACCAAACAAATGTATGGTAGCAGAATCTCTAACCTAATGGTTTCAGAAGTGCTAACAAATATCAGCACACATCCATATGTGATAAAAAGATAAAAGGATGAGAAAAAGAGCATGAAATTCAAGATAATGGTTACCTTCATTGCGCACGGGGAAGAAGAAAGATAATAACAGAATGGGTTTCATTGATGCTTTAGAGGCATTACTATTTTTTACATTAAGCAATGAGTACAAGGGTGTTCAATTATATTATTTTTAGTACCTGGCAAATACTGTACATTTTCTTGTGTAAGTAATAAAATATTTCAAGGGATAACTTTTTTAAATCCAGAAAAGAAATATCTCATTCAGATACTAGAAGTGGGAAAGAGAAGTGGCAATTACTTTTTTAGAAAACTCTGACAATATTTAATTTTTAACTTCAAATGTGCATATTCTAGAGTAATTTCATTTATAATATGTATACAAGCAAGCATAAACAAGGATATTCATTGCATCACTCTTTGTGATAACGATCAGATGTAAACAACATAAAAATCTACCAAGAAGAATAAGTAATGGATGGACTTACAATCAATTTAAACAAGGCCTTCAGGGTTGCTATAAATCACAACCAATTCTTTTCTTTTTTTTTTTTAAAGGGTTTATTGTGAATTGAGTGACAGTTTAAGAACCAACTCTTAATATGAATAATGAGCACTTAGTCTGAACAACAATTCAGAGCTTAAAGTGTGGAATTTAATCCCATAAAGAAACAAAGGCAGGCTTTCATTTAATCATTAACTCTCTTAAAACCTCATTAAGATTAAAACATTTTTATATGTGTAAGTCCAAGGGGCATGAACAGAAACTTCATCAAAGAGGACATTCAGGCAGTTAGCAAATGTATGAAGCGATGTCCCAATCATTAGCCATCAGAGAGATGCAACACAAAACTACAATTAGATTCCATCTCACTCCAGCAAAAATGACACTGATCTAAAAATAAGAAAAGTACAAATGTTGGTGAGGTTGTGAGAGACTGAAATTCTCACACATTCCTGGTGGGACTGAAACATGGTTCAACACTATGCAACATAATGGTACTTCCTAAGAAAGACAGAACTTGAAATACATTATGATCCAGCAATCACATTCCAGATACTTATCCTACAGATATAAGAGCAGAGATACAAATAGACACGTACACACTATTCATTGTAGCATTATTCACAAGAGCAAAAAAGATGGAAAAACTAAGTGCCCATCAACAGATAAATGAATAAGTGAACTGATTTTGTTTGTTCTTCTAATGGTCCATGGTACTTTTAATATTCTCCTGAAACACAATAACTCAAATACATCAATTCTTCTAAAGTCTTTTTATTTATTTATTCAACTTTCACATGCATATGAGGTTATTTAAAATACCATGGCTTGGATCAGGCACCCCTTAGTCCTCAAACTGACATCTTCACAGTTGAACTCTTTAAAGGGGTCTCATGCCGCAGATATTCCCAGTGCAAATACACCATTTCATTTCTTGACTGCTGCTTCCATGAGTGTTGCTGGTTGAGCCGAGCAAAATGAAGTCTTTGACGATTTCACCCTTTTTCGATTTATCTTTATGTTATTTATTGGACCAGTTGTGAGAATTTTTGTTTTCTTTATATTGAAGTGTAACCTATTACAAGTCGGAACCGACTCGACGGCACTTAACAACAACAACAACAACCTATTACAAAAGCTCTGGTCCTTGATCTTCATCACTAAGTATTGTAAGTCCACTTCCCTTTCAGCAAGCAAGGCTATATCACCTGCATATCACAGGTTGTTAATGAGACCTTATTCCAATCCTGATGTCATGTTCTTCATCATATAATCCAGCTTCTCAAATTCTTTGCTCACCATACAGATTAAATAAGTATAAAGTGAAAGAATAAAATCTTGGCATAAGCCTTTCCTAATTTTAAACATTCAGTTTCCCCTTGTTCTGTTCGAAAAAGTTGGTCTACATACAAGTTCCTCATGAGCACAGTGTTCTGGAGCGCTCATAATTCACATGTTGTCCATAACATCCACACAATCGAAAGCCTTTGTGCAGTCAATAAAGCACAACAGGTAAACACCTTTCCAGTATTCTCTTTCAGCCAAGATGCATCTGATGTCAGTAATGATAACTCTCTTCCACATACATGTCTGAATCCAGCTTGAAGCTCTGGCAGCTCCCTGTCCATGTACAGTCTTTGAACTATCTTTAGCAAAACTTCAATTGCATTCAATATTTATGATATTGTCAAGATTATTTCTGAATTCCATTGGGTCACCTCTCTTTGGAATGGACACGAATATTAATCTCTTCCAATCAATTGGTCAGGTAGTTTACTTCCAAATTTCCTGGCATAGATGAGTAAGTGCCTCCAGTGCCACATCATTTTGTTGAAACATTTCAATTTTTCTTCCATCAATTCCAGAAGCCTTATTCTTTGCCAAAGCCTTTCATGCATCACAGATTTCTTCCTTCAGGATCATTGGCTATTGATCATATGCTACCTCTTGAAATGATTCAACATCGACCATCTGTTTTTGGTACAGTGACTATGTATATTCCTTCCATCTTCTTTTGATGCTTTCTGCATCATATTCAATATTTTGCCCAGAGAATCTTTCAATATTACAAATCGAGGCTTGAATTTTTCTTCAGTCCTTTCACCTTGAGAAACACTGAGCACATTCTTCCCCTTTGGTTTTCATACTCGACGTCTTTGCAGATTTCGTTGTATTTGACTTTGTCTTCTCGAGCTGACCTGTTCTGTTGTTGTACCTCCTCACTTCTTCCATTTGCTTTAACATGTCTATGCCAGAGAACAAGTTTCAAAGTCTCTTCAGACATCCACTTTGTTCTTATCCTACTTTCTTAACATCGTAATGACCTTTTACTTTCTTCTGTATGTTGTTCTTGATGTCATCCCACAATTCCTCTGGTCCTTGGTCATTAGTGTCTAATTCATCAAATTTGTACTTGAAATGATCTCTAAATTCAGGTTGCACATGTCAAGGAGCTCTGGTAGCATAGTGGTTACGAATCAGGCTGTGAAAGGCAAGGTCAGCAGTTCACAACTACCAGTTGTTCCAAGGGAGAAAGATGAAGCTTTCTGTTCCTGTAAAGATTTACAGTCTCAGAAACCCTGTACAAGGTTGCTGTGAGTCGGAACCAACTCCACGGCACATAACCACTACCACCACCATGTTCAAGGTCATATTTTGACTCTTGCAGACTTGTTTTTTCTTCTGCTTCAGCCTAAATTTGAATGAGCAACTGTTGGTCTGTTCCACAGTCTGCCCCTGGCCTTGTTTTGGCTAATTATATGGAGCTTTTCACCATCTCTTTCCATAGATGTATACAACTTGATGATTTCTGTGTATTCCATCTGATGAGGTCCATGTGTATAGTCATCTTTTATGTTGTTTAAAAAAGGTATTTGTAATGAAGAATTCATTGGTCTTGTAAAATTCTATCATGCATTTGACCTAGCTTCGATGGCTTGATGATCAGAACTCGAATAGAGGAAGATAAAAAAAAAAAAAAAAAAAAAAAAAAGATAAAGGAAACAAGTGTAATTGCTACCATTTGACGAATATGACCTATACTTAGGGATGTAGTAGTTCCAAATACCAACTGAGAGGGAAGGAGTCTTCACATCAAGAATCAAACCTATCCCCTCTGTACACAAGCTTGACAGGGATGGATAACTTAGACACCGGCTGCCTAAAATGGAGGGAAGGGGGCAATAAAAGCAAAAAGTGACTAGTTTACAAGTTTTCAAGAAAGAATTTAGTTTCAGAGTGTGCAGGGGAAGGTACAATATCCACTGAATAGTTTTCATCTTGTCTAAGGAGCTCTGGTGGTGTAGTGGTTACGAATCAGGCTGCTAACCTGAAGGTCAGCAGTTCGAAACTACCAGCTGTTCCGTGGGAGAAAGATGAGGTGTTCTGCTCCCGTAAAGATTTACAGCTTCAGAAACCCTGTGCAGGGTCACTATGAGTCGGAACCGACTCCACGGTACTTAACAACAACAACAACAACATACATGGGTGTGGTGAAGGAGATTAGGATAAGATTCTTAGGATTCAACAGAAAGTAACTGTTATCATTACTAATTGTGATTGTCACAACTGTAAAGGTAGAAATTTTGTAACACAAACGGGGTGTAGTTAATCTTACATTCCAGGAACAAAGGACCCTAGGACCATCAAGGGAGAAGAGCTTGAGCGGAATGTGGGACCCTATCCAGAGAAGTAAGGACACCACAGATGGAGGCAGAGATGAAGACACAGAGAAATGAGTAGCAGAGGACTCAGGAAAAAAAGGCTGTGTGCTGGCAGCCAGGAGGCAGGCTTACAGAATGTGCCCTTTGGTTGTTAAAATGATTATATATTCCTCAGTGTTTTTGTGTAAATATCCCCCACCCACCCACTGCAAAAAAAACAAACAAACAGGGAATAGAAGCAAATACTGTTGAATGATGATGCATTAAGGGGACTGTAATCATTGCAATAAAATGAAATATGACAGGATGAATGCAAAATCGATGTTCTCCCATGTAAACTATCACTCAATTCACAATAAATCTTTTAAAATAACAAAAAAATTCTATCATGCAATCTCCAGTATTATTTCTATCACCAAGGCCATGTTTTTCAACTATGATCCTTCCTCTGATTGCAACCTTTGCATTCCAATCACTAGCAATTATCAATACATCTAGATTGAATGTTTGATCAATTTCAGACTGAAGAAGTTGATAGAAATTTTCAGTTTCATCATTCCTGACTTTAATAGTTGGTGCATAAATTTGAATAATAGTTTTATTAACTTGTCTTCCTTGCAGCCATATGGATATTATGCTATCACAAACAGTGATCTAGCAATGTTCTTTTTTTTTTAACCTAGCAATTTATGTGTTTTGTTTTGTTATTTTCGTAAATGTTTTATTGTGAACTATGTGATAGTTTACATGGAAGAACATTAGTTTTACATTCATTCTATCATATACCATCTCATTGCCATGGTTACAATCCCCTCCATGCAATCCTGCCCCTGTACCCCCAGGTCTTCAGCACATAGTGGCTCTCCCTCTCTGGATCTAAAGTCTCCAGCTGATTCATCACTCCACGTCATCATCTCTACCTCCATTTCAGGCATCACTCCATTTCAGAGCAGGGTCCCACTCTCTGCTCTTCTCCCTTGATGGTCCTAGGGACCTCTGCTCCTAGACTGAAAAGTTAATCACTCCCCTCCTTGCTATAAAACGTCTACCTTTACATTTCCAACCCTCACAATCAGTCATGATAACAATTATTCACTATTGTATCACAAGAGATGCGTCTGCATTTCATTGCATCAGCCCTGCCTAGTCAGATTGAATACTACTCACTGGAGATTCTACCTTCCTCCAGGCCCTCTGGATCTAGGTTCCCTCTTGAAAGCTTGTAAGCCAGTCACTTCTTGCCTTTGTAGCCCCCTGCCCCCCATTTTGGGTAGCCAATATGCAAGTTGCCCATCCCTGTCTACTCTGCGTGTGGAGGGGGTGGGGATGATTCTAGCAATGTTCTTTTTGATGATGAATGCGATACCACTCCTCTTCAATTTGTCATTCCTAACATAGTAAACCATGTGATGGTCAGATTAAAAATTTGTCAATTATAATCAATTTAAGCTCACTAACGCCTAGGATAGTGTAGTAGTCACGAATCGGGTTGCTAATCTCAAGGTCAGCAGTTCAAAACTACCAGACATTCCGCAGGAGAAAGATGAGGCTTTCTGCTCCTGTGAAGATTTACAGGCTAGGAAACCCTGTGCAGAGTCACTATGAATCGGAATTGATTCCACGGTACTTAACAACAACAATGCCTAGGATTATCTATGTTTATGCCTTCCATTTTATTTATGACAACTTGTAATTTTCTTACAGTCACACTTTGTACACTCCATGCTTCGATTACTAATAGATATTTACAGCTGTTTCTCCTCATTTTTAGTTGCACCCATCAGCAAATGATGGTCGCAAAAGCTTTGCTCCATTCACATAAACTCTACTTTGCAGAGGCAACTCTTTCTCAGTCATATTTTGAGTACCTTCCAGGCTGAAGGGCTCATTTTCTGGCACTGTATCTGACAATATTCTGTTACTCTTCTTCATATTTCAATATTCAATATTCTGGTGCTATCAGACAGAGTTCCACTGTTATTCATAAGATTTTCAGTGACTAAATATTCAGAAGTAGTCCACCTTTTCCGCTTCCTATTCTTAGTCTGGAGTCTCAGCTGAAACCTTTCCACCCTGGATGATAGTACAGCAATTAAAATACCGGTGGCAGGAGACTAGCTAGACAGGTTTACATGGGCTAAATGGGATGGAGGTAAAAAACAATCTGAGCAGAAACATGGAACAACAGAGCTCGTGGATACAAAGATTGAGGCATGGTTTGAGGGGTAAAAGTGGGGAAATGATGTTAAGATGCTTGGCTATTTGTTGAATCTTGGTTTCCCTTGCCTACTATTGTAAAATAGACACTTGAAGGGGAGAGAGAGGAATAGCCAGAAACATCACCAGAAAGCCAGAAAGCTTTTAAGTCCGTCTTCAGCCTATAACTGTTTGGAATAACTAAAATGGGGCTAGAACTTGCCCAGTGAAGAAAGATCCCTGCAGAGCCTTTGCACTACAAAAGATCATAGGTGGAATCCTGATCATTATCCAGAATTTTCTGAGGTGGGACACTCCCACATGAAAGGACAAGCAGGCCAGTCTGAAGCAGCTAGAAGAACAGAAGATATTTCTTAAAAGAGAGACCATCAGAAAAAAACAAAACAGCAGTCCAACAGATCCAACAGATCTGTTTTGGAAGAAGTGCAGCAAGAGTGCTCCTTGGAGGCCAGGATGGCTAAGCTTCGTCTCTCATACTTTGGACATATTGTCAGGAGGGAACAGTCACTGGAGAAGGATGTCATGCTGGGTAAGATGGAGGGTCAGAGAAAAAGAGGAAGACCCCCAACGAGAGGATCAGCCAGGTGGCATCATTGATGGCGTCAAGTGTGGCAGCGATAGTGAGGTTGGCCCAGGATCGGACATTGTTTCGTTCTGCTGCACTGGGTCGCTATGAGTCGATTCCGACTCAATGGCACCTGACAACAACAACACACAGAAAATAACATTCTTTGACAGTCACCAGGAATAGGAGGGGGAGGAAGGGGAAACCACTTTCTTGAAAGCAGACAATTGTTATTTTTGGATATAGGAAAGGCAATACCCAATATGGGACAAGTCTGTACAGCTGCTCAAGATAAGTGAAACAAAAGTATACAACAAATAAGGAACAATTCTGGTAAATACTTTAACATACAATTTGCTACAACAATGTTATGTGCCATGGAATCATTTCGACTGATCACAACCCTATATAGGGTTTCCAAGGAGCAACTGGTGTATTTGAACCGCCATACCTATGGTTGGAGTCCTGGTGTGGCGCTGTGGGTTAATGCGCCAGACTGCAAAGCCATTTGAACTACAAGGTCAGTGGTTCAAGCTCACCAGCTGTTCCTCAGAAACCCTATACAGAGTCGCTATGGGTTGGAATCAACTCGACGACGGGGCACTTAACAACAACAACCTATGGTTAGCAGTTCAATACAGCACTTTATCAACAGCACTTAACAACAACAACCTATGGTTAGCAGTTCAATACAGCACTTTATCGATGGCACTTAACAACAACAACCTATGGTTAGCAGTTCCTACAGCACTTTATCAGGACTCCTTTGCCACAACAATAACAACCAAAATATATGTGTGGTTATAAAAGTAGATATATACACATAAATGCGTATGTTGTTGTTAAGTGTTGTCAAGTTGGTTCTGACTCATAAAGAGTTTCTGAGGAGTAGCTAGTGGGTTTGAACCCCTAACCTTGTGGAGGGCAGTCCAATGCTTATTCTACAGTGCCACAGCAGGACTCTCCTGCATATGTATTACTGTTGTTAAGTGCCATCAAGTAAATTCCAACTAACAGCAACCCTGCCTAGGGAGCCCTTCCATGGAGCAGTAGCAGATTCAAACCATGGGCTTTGTGATTCACAGTGCAGTGAAACCACTGAAACCATTGCACTTCCTGTATGTGTATAAGAAGGCACAAAGAGGGTATACGGGTATAGATGTAGAGTCCTGGTGTAGCGCTATAAGATAAGCAGTAGACTGTGTACCACAAGGCCCATAGTTCAAACCCACCAGCTGCTCCACCCTGTACAGGGTCGCTATGAGTCACAATTGACTCAATGGCACTTAATAACAACAACATAAAGGAACAAGGATAAGAATTAGAGCCAAGTTTTTACAAGAAACTACACAAGCAAGAATACAGTGAAGTTAACTGTTCAAAGAAAATAAACATCAATGTAAATTTCTGTATCCAGAAAAATTATCTTTCAAATATGGAGAAAGATTTGGAAAAAAAAAAAAAAGAAGAAGCAAAATTATCACCATTCACAGATAACATGATCCTATATATACAAAATCCCAAAGTGTCAACAGGAAAAATTCAGAGCTCCAGAGGAATGTAAGCAAAGTTGCCGGCTACAAAGTCAACAAACAAAACCCTGTTGGTTTTCTATACATCAGTAATGAAAAATCTGAAAGCAACATTAGGGAAACAATCCCATTTATAATAGCATCTATGAGAATAAAACACTTAGGAAAGGGAAGGAAAGCAAGGTTGACAAAGGTTAAAGAACACTTAAATAAATGGATTGGAAGAGCTTCCAAACAAACTAAGAGAGGTGTGGTTAAATAGTTAGTCATTGAAAATCTTACAACTAGCAGAAGAACATTGTCAGATATAGTGCCAGAAGATGAAAACCTTATGAATAAATAACAGTATAACAATGTTTCAGATATATTGCCCGAAGACTGGAAGGCACTCAAACTATACCAATGGAAGAGTTGCCTCCTCAAAGTAGGGCTTTCCATAACAAAACCTTCATTTGCTTACGGGTACGGATCAAAATGAGAGTAAACAGCAGCAAACATCCATTGATATAGGAACATGAATATATAAAGTATGAAGTTGTCAAAAATGAATGGAACTCATAAAGACCAATATCCTAGGCATTGTTAAGTGCTGTCTCACCAGATAAGACTCAAAGAGAACTTGCATAGGATTTCTAAGGAGCAGTTGCTGAGTTTGAACCACCAACCAATTCACAATAAAAACTTGAATAAAAATAATGAAAGATTTACAGTCTTGATAAATATATATATATGTGTGTGTGTGGATTTTTGTCAACTTTACAAAATAAAGCTTCCCAGTGGTTTGGCAGTTGATAGTTAACTCTATGAAGATTGGCCATAAGCAGGCATAGTTAATTCTATGATGACTGGCTAGGAGCAGTCAATCAATTGAAAGGATGCTTCCTTGTGGACACACCAGAAAAGTTGCTCTCTTTGCCACTGGACCTGGATTTGGGGCTCTCCACCATACTATTGTGGTGATGTGGGTTAATGGGCCCGACTGCAAAGCCGTTTGAACTGCAAAGTTGGTGGTTCAAGCTCACCAGCTGCTCCTCGGAAACCCTATACAGGTTGGAACTGACTCTCTGGCACTTAACAACAACAACAAACCTTACTATTGTGAGCCATTTCCTTGATACAAACTTCTCCTTATAAACATGTTTCACTAACTTGCTTCTCTAGAAAACCTAGCCTAAGACATGTGGTACTGAGAGTAGGATCCAAAGAAAATCAAGTATGAGTTTTCTAAATTGGTTCTCAACTCTGACTAATTTTAAAGGCACTAATAGTTAATGTTCAACCATTTCAAGAGATACCATATGAACAAGAGCCAATGATACTCAG